ATCAGAAACATGGCTTTAAGTTTAAGTCTTTAAAGCAGTTGGTGTGTGTTAACACAATGCCAAGACATAAAGTAATTAGCAAAGATCATAAAGAATAAATTCTTTCTGTCACCTGAAGTAGGGAGGAACTCCAGGGATTTTCTACATCAATGTTCAGAACCTATCAACATAGTGAGGAAGCTTATTGAAAAGTGGAAAACAGTTAAGACAAATGCAAATACATCCAGGAGTAGATGTCTTGACATATCCACGCCACCGTCAGAAAAATGTGTAATGCTCACGCAATACTGAGAAAAAGATCACATAAACCCATAAACTCCACTTTTACCTCCTCAGGCCTCAGCATGTTAAATGTTAATGTTCATGACAGTGCATTACAAAAATACTGAACAACTATGGCATGTTTAAAAGGATTTTCAGGTGAAATCTTTCTCTTGTTAAAATGAATATGGCAGTTTGGCCCAGGCTTGCAAAATAGCATCTGATGCAGCAAGACCACTTCTGGAGCAATGACCTATGAACAGATTAGACAAAGTAGAAATGCTTGACCAAAACACAGAACAGCAAAAACAGCATTATCGGTAAAACACCTGTAACGTCTGTTAAAGGCAGCAGTAGAGGGGGGATGATTTAGGCTTGTTTTGCAGCCACTAGGCATCTTGAGCTCTACTACAAACTCCTTTGCATAACAATGTTTTGTGGTGTATTAGATGAGGTGATCTGTTCAACATCTGAAGTTTGCCTTTAATCTGGTTCATCAACAGGATAATCATCACAAGCACAGGAGCAAACTACCACACTATGGAAATGAAAAGAATTAATCTCCTAAAAAGGCCCAGTCAAAGTCTGAACTTCAATGTGACTGATGTGTTGTGGTAGGATGTTGCGAGAACTATGCATAAACAATTATCTGCAAACCTCAATTTACAAAATCAACATTGTAAATTCTTCCAAAGTGATGCAAGAGACTGAGAGTAATTTCAAAAGCACTACTGAATCTTATTGAATCTGACATTTTCTATGGCCAGCGTTATTTTTACTTGATCTTTTTTGAATACCAATGACAGTGTGGAATGTGAATTATGCTTTCATAAATTAGTTAATTTACTTATGTTGAATTAACTAATTTTGAAACACAGTAACAATCATTTGATGTTCATTGTTCTTGAAAAATAAAACCCTACAATTGAAAGAGAATGTGCTTTTAATATTGTGTAGTTATCCAATCAGTAAAAAATAATGGACTAAGACTAAGATGTTTCTTCAATCGAAACATCGTAAAATGTTTGACTGGCAGTTGTTTAGAAATTTCAAATATTCAGTTTTCTATAACATGTTCGCTGTTTCGATGGATAAAACTGCAGAAAGTGAAAGGTGCTTTCAAACACAAAAACAAGTCAATTTGAATGACAATTTTACAAGTACAGTCATTTCTAAAATTGAGCTCTGCAGCATCTCTGTAACTTCACTTTTCAGAACAAGATAATAAAGTGACGTACAGATTTCATGCACTCTGCTCTGATCAATATCAAGTGGTTAAAGAACCCTTTTAACTATAGTGCTACTCACATAAGGACAGCAATAATAGGAATCTTCACTTTATCCTGAGGAACTCTGATAAAAGTAAGGCCTGGTTTGGCCTGATAATCATTGTGCGTCACAGGAACACTGTGATACCAGTTTCTGCCACATGAGCTTAGATAATAGCCCGTGTTCCTCACTAGCAGTGTTGCATTTCAAAACCAGAGCAAATTAGATGCTGATAGGCTGCAATGGGAATAGCTGAACCTTTCACACTACTCTGTTTTTGGTCAGCAGGCACAGCAGGTGCTGAATTAGAGCTGCAGAAACTGAAAGAAGGAACAGGAAACTGGGGGAAGAAGGCTACATAAAAATAAATAAATAAAACATTAAGGAAAGATAGTAGGAGAAGACAGCACTAGCGAATAAGGATACTAGTAGAGAGAAGTTAATTCATGCAATTTTCTTCCACCCATCAACAGAGCATTCCTCCCTCTCCATCTGCATCTCTTCACTCCATGCAGACATCTTACCACCGGGATGAAGAAAGGCCTAATCAGCCACTGGCACTGGATATATGCTATTGTCCTGCCCAGCTGTAGCTAATAGGCAGCGTTCTCTGTTATTATCTCCAAACCAGCACATTCCAACCTCAGTCTCATTCTGGCTTGAGCTGGAGATTTCAGGAGTCAAATTAGGAGCAAATGTGGAATTACTAGGAGCTAATAACTTTGGCCCTTCTCCAGACTACATGCAACTGCTATAAAAATGACAATGGCAATATGTAATACTTTGCTTTTACTGAGCAGTTTTTTGCCTAAAAAGCTGAGGCAGCATTCATGGGAAAGATTTATTTGTTACCTCATAACAAATAAAAATGACTTTCTGAGGCTAACAGCAGGACAAGAGGTGACTGCCTTGATGAATACTTATTATCTTTCACAGTGGTGAGATGTGAAGTTAGTTTGAAACTAAAATGTCCCACCTTTTAAGAAGAGAAAGACTATTAATATTTCTAAAATGTGACCGTTTATATCACTTGGATATGTCTTTCTGATAAAAGTAAATTTAGAAAATTTAAAGAGGAGAGTCTGAAGGCAGATAAAAAAGTTATATAATCCAGGCTACTGGATGTCCAGTGTGAAGTTACTTGCTGACAAGCTTTATGTGGGCGCAAAATTCATGTTCCAGCCGACTGCGGCACCTTCTCCCATTTCTAAAAATATCATTACCTGTTTTAATCACCATGTTATCACATATGGGGTATTGTCAAGAGAAAAATATGAAACCCAATAATGTAAATTTGGTGAAGGTTCCTATTAAAACAACCTGAACTTTCTCAACACCTCAGCAGTTGTACCAGACCATTTCCATAACCCAAAGAAGTTAAGTATTTAGAGCATACACTGTGCAGTATCTACATGTACTTTTAAATGGGCTGACTTTTCTGCATTACATTTTTGATATTGATTCTTCATACTATTCAGTTATTGTAAGATGTTTAAGTTAGGATTTTTACTGACATGCAGACACTTAACAAAATAAAAGCTTTAAGTAAATCACCCTACCTACTAGATGTATATAGTTTTGGTGGAATTTGTATTGAATTGCTGGCATAAATAAACTTTTAGATGATCTCATGATTTTTTGCGATGCATCTGGACAATCTGTACATACTTGCAAGTATGAAGTCATGATGATATTGAAGAAAAACTACATAGACTACTTTAAACATGTGCAAAAAAATTCTTAGAAACTTCTGTGAAATATTAAACTCAATATGTGATGCCTCACTTCTTATTCATATGACTTGTCTCAGATCTGTTATGCAATCAAAGAAATTAGAAAATAAGGCAGATTTTATAGCAAACCATCTATTGATGGGAAGCAGAAGGAATCATCTACAGATCTCTGAATTTGATAAGCCGTTTAGGAAAGTCATAGATTTAGATATTTAATTTAAATTTTAGTTTTTTTTCTCTGATTTTAAAAATAAATATAATCCTCTTAAAATAGAGACTGACAAACTGACCATTTTTACTAAAAAGAGGTGATACATTAGATAGGTAACTTTATTCAAGAAGAAACTTTTTTTTTTTGCAATTTGAACGAAAACATGCAACATATAAAATTAGAAAGTTGAAAGAAATTTTCACTTAATCTTGCCTTGATTTAATGCAAACACTGAACTTAAAATATCACTCAATCACCTGACATAAAACAAGGTTGTGCTTTCTGCTAATTAAGCAGAAAGTGTTTTTAGTGTTTGCAATAAATCCTACATGATGCATTTGCATTATTAGAAAACAAACATTTTGCACACTACAGATTAAAATAAAGTAAGTTAGCCTTTTAAATTCAGTATTAGTAGTTGTTCTTGCATTCCTGTTATTGTGGATAGCTTCAGTTATTTTCTGTCATTTGATCATATTTTCTTCTGGATCAAGACTGTGATCACATGTGGCTGTTGCACTTATAATTTTAACGCAAGAAACACAAATTATGTGATATTACAACCATGGCACTTTGGTATCATTATATGTCTTGTTATATTTCCTACATATGGTATAAGAAGATCAATAAATCTATATAAATAATTCTACTTAATTACTTTGTAATTAAGTAGAATGGAATTGCTTTTAGTTGTATAGATTCATGAGAACATTTGAGTTTGATTGAATGAAAGTAAATGAAGAATATTTTAGACTTTCATAAAATTTTTAATAGAAATGGTGTTAGATTGTAATTCTATGGTCTTTAATCCTGTGAGCTCAATATTCTGATTAGGGAGTTAAATCTTCCACTCTGATAATGATCAGATGGATCTTCAGAGGTTGAGGTTAAGTATCTTAAGGTTCCAGAGGTCACAACATTGAACACAAGACTATGTTTTACAAGAATCAAATGGCAAGACAAAATTCTGCAAACTATGGACAAATCAATATTATCTTTTCATTGGATAATCAATCTTTTTAATAAGTATACACTAAGGATACACTAAGTATACACTGCCACACTGCGGCTGTGGTTGTGTGGCAGAGTTGTCGTCTTGCAATCGGAAGGTTGTAGGTCCGATTCCAGCTTCCTCCTGCCATATGTCGATGTGTCTCTGGGCAAGGCACTTAACCCTAAATTACCTACCGGTCTGCGTATCGGTGTATGAATGTGTGTGTGAATGGGTGAATGTGACTCTTGTGTAAAGCGCTTTGAGTGGTCAAAATGACTGGAAAAGCGCTATATAAGTTCAGTCCATTTACCATTTACTAGTGTGATCAGGAAGAGTTATCAATAAAATTTCCCAAGTTCCTCTCTCAACTCTTCTCCAAGTGAAAATGACTTTTTTGTGCATTCCACAAATGTTATTATTCCTTTATGTTATTATTTGCAAAGTATTCAAGGATATTTTTACATATATGTTGTCCTTTTTCACAAGTAAATTATAAGATACATAAAGGGTTTTTATGATGTAAAAGTCTTACCTTCAAAATGTTCCAAGATCTGCACTGTCTCCCCCAACTCTAGAGCCAAACCCTGAGTCACTGAGCCTCGGAAATTACAGATGACTGTAAAGGAAAGGACATAAAAGGAAAGATGAGAATCTGAAGAGATGATGAAGATGTAACAATTACAGCCAATGTAGAGATATCAGAGATCTCTGATGAGCAAAGGTAATATCATGAAAGATTAACTTTATTCATCACGGCAGAGTCCATTTGACTTTGTGTAGTTGGAATTAGATCTCGTTCATACAAAAGCTTTGTCCTCACATTGTCATTGCAATGTCAAGTTTCAGTTCCCTAATGACAGAACAATGTTTGCAGACTCTTCCAGACCAGGAGCTGTTTATGTAGATATTCTTCATGACTGCACTGATGTGCCCAGAAAACAACAGATGTCATAGCTTATTCCAAAGCTGAAGTCACAATAAGTCGCTCCATACAAGACTGAAATATGAAGAGGAAAAAAATAAATAAACCACCTCAGGGTAGATGAATATCTCACACTACTCAAAACCCTAGTAATGCTATTATCCTTGGCGGTTTTTTTCCAGGACACCTCTTCACACTCTTTTGGTTGCCGAAGGTGATTTGCCACCATGATTATACTCAAATCATGGTGGATTTGCTACATTTTCAGAGGTCAATAGTCAACGTTATTCACTTTTGAATAAGTCAAAAGTTTAGAGTGGTTTACATTCAGTTGTAATATTTAGTTAAATGTTTGGTTAATTAGAGGTCCTTTGCATTTTCTATTACAAAGAAGTAGAAAACAAATAATGTTACAGAACCAGATGTCAGATTTACAAAGATCAGAATTTACAATGTTAAAGATTAAATTCTGCACCAACCTTTTCTGGATTTCCTCAACAATTAAAGGAGATAATAGACCAGAAATAGGCCCAGTATTTGGTTAGTATATATTAGAATAAGCTACAAAACAACATTCATAATTTCTATACATATATCGAATATAATCTATAGACAACTCAGGATTAATGTTCATGTTATCAAAATTAAATTGTGAACATTATCTGACCTCCAAGAAGACTGCAAGAAAATGTTTTTGGAGAAAACATGAAGGCAAATTCCTAAGCAGGAACTCCCATATAAATAATGCCCCACTTGCTTCTCCCTTGTTTAGAAAAGAGGATGTTAAGGAAGCTATCTTGGGCTTCAGTCTGTATTCTGAATGTAGTACAACCCACCAGAGAAGACTTTAACTTAGCATATCTGAATCTGTCTTTGTTTAACTGACTGTAAATGACTTTGTGTCTGAGACATCTTAAAAGATGCAACTGTCTTTCATGCTTTCATATTCCATTTCATTCTCAGCCTGATCAACTAAGGACAACCCACATTTTATGACCGAGACGAGATACCACTCTTACAGGCTTCTATCATCCTAAGTGTGCAAATCTTCTGGTTTACTGATGTTTATGCCTCACATCACATTATTTATTTTATTTACATTATTTGCTTTGCTTCTAGCACCTCACACAATAAAAAAGATGCACAGTGGCAAACATGTTTAGCACATGTTTAGCATATGCTAAATGTAAATCTCACTTTGATGACTCAAATCAAAATGTTACCTGGCAAAAAATTTCTACCTGTTCTGAAGCAATACGGCCACATTTATACAGTTTTTCAAGTTCTTTGTTTTATCCTCTTAGTTTGCTTCTGTTTACCTGCTGTTTTTGCAGAAGCAAGGATAACTGAGACTCAACACAAAAGTAGGTAAAAACTGTTTATATCTACCTAAATTCAGGAGCAGAAAATGGTTTTGTTCCAATGAAAGGACCAATATTCTTATTGAACTTAGATTTTAGAGTTTGTATTGCATAATCTTTCAGACAATTAATTGAACTGAATCTCCAACTGCTTTATTATTATTATTATTATTATTATTATTATTATTATTATTATTATTATTATTATTATATTAAATTTAGGTAAAAGATACTCAGTTTCTGACAATATTTCTATCAACAATCAGGCTTCATCTTTGAATCACAGTTCACCTTTTATCTCTATAATCAAAGCAAGGTTCTCTGCTCATGTAACTGACTATCTACTGCTGTCATCATTCTGTCTCTGTAACTGTAATGCCTTCTGTCTGCCTTATTAATGCTGCTCAGCGTGGTGTGATTGCTGCTGTTTGGGATTCTGTCATAGGGCCTCCCCCTCTATCTCTGTGAGTCTTTGATTTGTTCACTGTGGCTCGTTATCGTCACTGTCAGTCACATCATTGTCAACAGCCTCGTCAGTCTGTCAGCTGTCAGACACTCGCCCACAGTCTCACCCTGCCATACCTCAACTCTGCACTCAGGCCACACGTAAAGAGTGAAATAAATACTGCCATGAGAATGATGCATGAAAGCGGAAAATCGGAATTTTAAAAGTGAAACTAATTGAACTTGATGTTCTGAACCACAGACATTTATTCACTCTTTGGCAATTTATTCATGAAATATGGGCGCTTGCAGTTAATCTAAGTCAGGTTTCAACAGGCCAGTTGATGTTGACTTCAACATCTCTATTTTTTTACAACATATTGAATGCATTACTTTCTTCTTTTTTTTTAAGCTTTTTAAGGAAAGCAACAACTGTGGTCCCTTTGTGCGTGTGTGTGTAGAGTTGTCTGCCAGTATGCTCAGATGTATGCATGAGTGGATGCTGCAGAAGTCAGTCGTGTTTGGATGTGCATCCCGGTTGGCTCTTTCTTCCATACAGTCTCAAAGCAAGCACAGTGGATTTCATTTATTTATTTGACAATCTGCTTCACTATCAAATCAATTAATGTTTTCAAAGACTGAAGTGGTCAAGAAACAAGAAAGGTCTTCATGTAAAGCTGAATGACTGGTGTTCTAAAGCTACTTTTGAATTACTAGTAATAAACAATTACAAATCCAATGAGTTTGATCCCATTTGAAAGAACGTTTGTCGGCTTTGATGAATGCTGATCTCCACCTTTTTTGCATCTTTGCCAAGTTCAAACATGACTCCACTTTTATTTAAAAATGTGTGAAGTTGAGTTGGCAGTCGTGACCAAAACTATCCGTAGTACACAACACAGTGTACATAAAATTGCCTTATAAGTGGGAAAGAGAATCATTCATGACTCATATGACATTGAAGCTTTGTATAAAGTCCAATTGTTGTGTTCTAACAAATCTAGCAGAGTGACACATCACACTAAAATAACTGTAAGTTAAGGCAAATGTGCATATTTCATGTAAGATTTCATCTGCTGTTTTATTATCTTGCTTAAGACTCTAAATAATATGTGTCAAATTTTGCTGTGAATTAGGATTTAGTACATGTTAGCAAATGTCACACCTCTTGTGAATAGCTATTATAGCCATATATAAATAAAAGGATCAAATAAGTATCTCTCTATGTCCACAAAAGAACACCAAAAGCATTTTGAAAATGTATTTTCAAATCTCCAGCATTTTGAAACAAACCAAGAAATATTTAACAGCAACAAAGAAATTTGAATCAATAGGAAGGATGAATTTCAAAAATTATTATGCAAAAATTATAAATTATTATTGATGAAGACAAGAATCTTGGCATGTTTTAATTTCTAAGTATTGAAAATATCAGTTTTCTTATTCACTAGCTGTGCTATAGATCTATGTCATAGTTTTCTATCATAAATCATGAATAGGAATTGAATCTGAAATATCATCAGAAAACTAAACAGCATTTTAAAGTCAAGAGTCTTCAGAAAGGCTGTTGGGGGAGGGGAATATGCAACAGCGATGTGAGGCCAGCTCTTAGACGTCTTTTCATTTTGTAATTCAGAAGTCCTTTGTACAAGCCTTCATCTAAGTACTGGGTGACTTCAACAAATTTTATGACTTTCAAATGAAAGCATGAAAATACAGCATAATTTAAAGATTTATTTTCTTTTTTTCTGCAAATTGAGTCTAATATGCCTCGTATCATTTTCCTGAATCCGTGTTTATGTATAATACATTATATCTGTTTCATGCTGCAAAAAGTAGAAGTATGAGAAACATATTTCATACAGATTTAACTCTGCTGAACTGACCTGATAACACAAGAACATGAAAAGGGATAAATGCAAGCACAAAACATGAGAAAAAGCTTTTTTTTAGCCAATGTGTGCTTTAATGTGTGTCTCTGTATTAAACAGATGTACTTCTGCAGAATGAAGACCAATTCTGCAAAATAAAAAGGGAAAAAAACATGGATCTTGGTTCTCAGAAAGACACCCACACCAAGAGTTAAACAAACAAATCAGAAAAACTAAATGTATTTATTTGAAGTCACAAAATCTTCTTAATTTTACTCGACATTAAAGAACCATACTGTATGTACAGCTATGATGTGAAGACTAAATGAACACTACTTATGCCTCTGATTTAATTAGATGAAACTCTGAAAGATAACAGAAGGATTCCAAGCTTATATGGAAAAAATGGTTTAAACAATGGACTTGGGCTTGGCTTTTATTTGAGGAGTAGATATTATATTTTTTTTACAGATTCAGAAACACTGCAACAGAAGGACTATTCCCATTCATCAATGAGATTTCAACAAGCACACATGACGTTGTGTATATGTGTCATCATTCTTTGAGAAAAAAAAAAACATCTGAATTGAGGCATGCGGCTTTTCACTGTGATTTCATGCACCAGGCACACTCAGGCAAAGCATGCTCAGCACCCTAGCAGCTGGACTGCATGAAAGTGTTTGGGACTGAGTTGGAGTTTTTGCCCTCCAGTTGCAGCAGCTGCTTCACATCTGCTGCAGTAGATGAGACTCTCTTACTGTATAAAGGTAGACAAAAGTAGAACGTTTCAAAGAAGATGAGAGATGTGAAGCATGCTTTTCCATTTTCCATGTTCTCATACATAAATTCTTAATTAGCTGTGAGATTTGAAGCTATGTTATTTAAAAAAAAGGATGAGATGCACAATATAAAATAAAATGGTTAATAATATGACATGCCATGTAAGGACAATATGCTTAAAAGGAACAGATTTAAATGTGTCTTAGCATCAGCAGTTGCAGAAAGCAGAAGTAGGCCA